TTCCACCTTAAATGGTGCAGCAGTTCTAGCACCTGTGGAGCTAGAATGTAACTGCTGCACCATTTAAAGTGGAACAGGAAATTTAGCTAGCTAGCTACCGAGACATCAGCATACTACTAGTAACTTTTTGTGCTTGTTATGAAGACAAGAATCCGTAATACATTGAAACGACATTAAACTAAGATAAACCCTCACATTTGTGGGTTTCTTTGGTCGCGTGTGCAGCCATCTTGCCAGTTTTTCTTTTTTTTCTCATAACACTCTGTTTGGAGTGTGCCTCTGAAAAACCTCAGTTTGGGGGGCCACGTAGCCCCAACACTAAGGGCTAAGTACTAGGGGCAAGGGGTGAAATGGGATTGGGCCAAAGTGTGGGCCACAGGCCTAACGTTGGGCTGTGTGAACAGCAGAAAGTTTCTCCCTCACCCAAAGAGAGAACAAACACATTTTTTACTATATATAACAGACTGAATTCTAATTTTCATTTTAAAATTGGATTTTTAAGTGTTAAATATTTTGTTTTAATAACAATATATAATGTTATTATAAATTCTATTTTAAAAACCTCAAACAATTTTAAACCTACCTCCCTTTATTATGTGCACCTTGTTTTTTTTGTTTTGGCCATCAGTCTGCCACAGACATGCAGTTTGGCCCACAAAGCAGATAAAACATTTGGACACCCCTGGTTTTGACATATTATTTAGTGTAGTGGCAGCCAAAATGTCAGTTTAATTATATACTTCGACCTTAGTAAAACAGTTTTGTAGAACTAACACTGGCTAAACCGTACCTGTGTTGATGTGAGGGTTGTGGAAGGATGCATTTTTCAGACATACTGTCTGTGACAGCGACAGCAGAATATCTCACACTGAGTGTGTGCACGGTGCAAGCAAACTTGATCATCACTATGTTGAATTGAATGTGAAGCTTTCATGTGAGTCAACTCCAGATTTCCATGTTGACTCCATCGCTCCGTATCATTTAAGCAGTGAGTGCCCAGTGGTATTACTATCTAAGTTGTGCTCTATTATTGAGAGATTTTAAGTTTGAATCCAGGAAAAGAAAAGTGCTAATTATCAATGCGTTATCAGCAATTATTTCAACAAATACTGAAAATACAATGGTGCTGATATCTGCTGATTTTATGCGCCAACTATGCAGTCGGGCCCTGTGAGAAACTGACCACTGCTAAATGACTAGAAGAAGGCCGACACAAACTGTGCATCAATAGATGAGCTACAGCCTCTGACTGTACGCCACTAAGGTTTCTAATAAAGCGGCCAGTGAGTGTATGTAGCTTAATCAAATGTTTCCAGTCTAATTGAACACCACATTTTACTGACTGCATAATGATCCCTTTTGTGACGTTGGCTGAGGCTGTTCTAAGAAGTGCTAACCTTGCTAATATTGCTTATATAGTAACCTTTTAGCACTGTGTGGACATGCTCAGTGCTTCTCACATCAGCATGCTTGAGAAAACTTTTTAATCCCTTTAATTTTGTCTCTGTCTAAATCACCACCTCAGCAGCGGCTGTAGCATCCGTGCTAATGTCTGCTGCTGCTGTCTCCCCTGGCTAGTTGTTTTGTTCAGCTGTTGTAAATTAACATAAGAATGAAATAACAGAGGCTGCTTAATTATTGTCTTGAGCTCTAATATAATCCACACGCTGCTGGACACTCAGTGAAGGGATCTGGGCTAATTAATTTGTGTCTGTTGGAGCATGGTGCGTCTCCTCAGGGCAACGAAAAGGCCAAGCTGAAGCGGCCTTTCATACAGGTGCTACAGGGAACTGGACACTGTTTATACATTACAGCACAGCTCAAAATGCTTTACAGGAAAGAGCAAATATAAACAAGCAGAGAACATTGAACAAGGAAGGCAAATAATATTTGATAATAGTCTGAATTTTTAAAGTACATCAACATACAGCACTGCTGTTCAAAAGTTTGGAATCGTTTGCCACAATAACATTTTTTTTTCGACACAGTGTGGATTTCAGTTTTGCAGATTATTCACCAAAATATATTTTATTAAATATTTCAAGAATTCTGTGAACAAGAACTTATTAAATAATAAATAATATACTGTAATTATCAATTTTAAAATTATTTTTATGAACATTTTTTGTCAAGTTATGTGCCTTGGGAAGCTCTGTTTATCATTCTGGATTTAACATTTCTTCAATTTAATGTACTTCTAGGTCATTACTATAAAAGATTTGAAATTGTACAGACCTAATATACTAAAATTATTTTATATATTTATACAGCAAAACTGCAGACATTGATTTGAAACTTTTGAATGGTAGTATAAATATAAATACAGTGGCATTAAAATTAAATGCAAGTTTAATTGTGTGTCTGTATTGTTTGTCAGTTATGACAGTATGAACCATTACTGACATATGGTTAAAATAATGTGTGTGCGTGTGTGTTAGAGTGAGTTCTGCACGTGTAGTGGTGATCAGTTGGTTGTATCATTCAAGTCAATTCAACTCAGGCCAATAAAAATCTCCCAGCAGGCGCAGATCTGAGTGCACTCGTTGGATTGATCTTCTGCCCTGCCAAATGCCCCCGGGCTCCGTAATTGCCCCCCATGAGGTTAACAGCATCAACACTAGTGCTCTGGCCCAGAGCTCTCCCTGTTACTGCAACCAAAGCGGCACGTGCTCCAGTCCCACTGCATTCAAATCACACAGCAGAACCAGCCAGAGTTGCCAGGTTTGCGATTTTCTCACCAAATTGGGGTTGTTTGAAAATGCAGTCACGGGGGAAAAATTTTAAGTCGCAGAGTGCGTTTTTTTGGGCTACTTTCAAAATGTACTGCAGCTGCCAAAACACTGATTGCAGACAGTAGAAATTAAAAATAAGTCCTCGAATGGGTGCATATTGATCCTGGTTCGAATAGTTGGAAACCCACAGACAGATACAGTAGACTAAGAGGGAGTCATGTCACTGATCAGTTTCAGCTTCTAGTGGGCAGGTTTTATGCTCACTTTGGGCTGGAGATTTTTGCTGGACCTGGCAGCCTTGGCACCACCTGGCCCAGCATCTCAGTAAAGCAGCAGAGCTAGAGTTTCGGTAGTGTTGCAAGGAGCTGCATCGTCTATGTGGACAGTATAAAAGGTCAGAGTTCTGAATACAGATTAAAACAATAGTCTAGTGAAAAACCAGTGAGCAGGCTGTAGTGCGACCAACTGAAGCAAAAAGGCTCAGAAACTGACCTAAATCATCATCTTTTACAGCACTAGCAAAGATGCCAGATAAGAACTGAGGCAGGCAGCAAGTCAGACCATGTGTTTTAATATATTTACATGACAGTGGGGAAAAACACATCAAACTCATTGCACTCAAAGAAGACATGAAGACATAAACTAAGCTTGTAAATAGGTCTTAGTGTTATTAGTGTTTATATGTGAATGACATACAGGCTTGTAAATGATACATTATGTATACTTCTAAGAGCTGAGTGTAGTCATTATGTGTAAAATAATTATTGATTTAAATTTTGTTTATATTTGTGTATATTTGTTTATGCTGTAGAGCGGAGGTTCACAACTCCTGTGCTGGAGTGGCTGCTTTAGGATTTACCTGCTCAAACACTTACCTGTTTATTCCCTGGTTTAGTAGGTGTGCTTGGGTAGGGAAACTACCAAACTGTGCTGTACACTGGACCTCCAGGACTGGAGATGTGCACCCCTGCTTTGGAGCCTGTGTTTCTCCATGCCCCCCATCTCAGTACCAAAGTTTTTTCAAATCTGTGGAAATCACTGGTGGTGTAGGTAGATTTTTTAACAATCGATCCACATTACAATGCTGTTATTTTTTTTTGGATTACTAGAGCTGGGCAGCAAAAGTGATTTTACCATGTTTGTCATTTCCCCTCACCCTCACTAAGTCTGAAAACTGGGAGGGTTCTGAATTTTACTGAATTTTAATAGTGGGCATGTTCCCACTGTCACACCTGTCCCCACTGTAAATTATACCAGTAGCTTTGTCAGTGAGGATTCTGTCAGTGAAGAAACTTTTTTTTATTTTAGAGCTAGACTTGGTCACAGTTTAGTCCAGATCTAGACTTGGTCATGATTTCGTCTTGGGTCACAGATTTGAATGGGTGTGTTTTGTTTGTGTGTAACAGATTCCTACAATGTGGACATTTCTGTACATGATCCTCAAAGCAGCATGAAAAGCTTTTAAAAAAAAGAAAAACCACTGACTGAACCCTAAACCTTCTATAGAACCCCCCTCCCTGACTTGTGATGTTTTCACACACACACACACACACACACACACACAAATAAATAAATGCTATAAACACAGATCCTTCTGACCTCTGCAAAGTGTGTGTGTGAGATAGAGAGAGACAGAGAGAGAGAGAGTGATCCTGTTATAGTGGTTAAGGAGTATCATCTGCACACACTCACATACAGAGGTCAAAGCTGAGCTTTCTTTCGTTTTCTTCTAAACCAGCACGTTCCTTTAAATTCACTTATCAAATCTGAAGCACAGTGACACAGCACAGCTTCCTCCCCTCCATTTCCTAACTGTTCTTTATGAATGTGATGAGTTTTTTTTTCCTATGTAAATATCATTTGCTTAGGAAATCATTGTATTTTGCAGGTGCAACTCATACAAACGTGTTTCTGTTTTTTTCTCCAGTATAAATGTCATGGTTCAATTTGCCTTTGCCTGGTCTTGCATCATTTAGTGTGGTTTCACACGCGGTTTGAACTCATGCTTACATCTTGCCTCAGTGCCTTCCATTGGAGACAATCAGCTAATTGTTACTGTGCAATTTATCAGTTTATGCGGTTATTACACACTGGTTGCTTTTGTTTACAGGCTCTCTGTCATTGGTGTAAATCTGTCTTTTAGATGCAGTTATTCAGTGATGACACCCATGATATACTCAGACAATAGACTGTATCATGATAACGAGAGCATAACGTTTCCTACCACTACTTAATACTCAGTGTGCTGTGGTTTTGTTCTCTCTGCAGAACGTGTATGTGAATATCAGTCGGATCATGTCGGTTGGGAACCGGCTGCTGGAGGCCGGTCACTATGCTGCTCTGCAGATCCAGCAGGTGTCGGGACAGCTGGAGCAGGAGTGGAAGGCCTTCGCCGCTGCGCTGGACGAGAGGAGCACCTTGCTGGAGATGTCGGCCAACTTCCATCAAAAAACAGACCAGGTGACACACCACTAATGCACCATGGACTTATCCAGCATAAGGCAACATAAACAGAAAGGATATCTATAAATAAATAATAATGCGCCATCCAAACATACCAATCAAGAGCATCTCTGTGATTAGAAACTGGAAATCTATAGCGCATAGAGTGGTCAGTGATATACATGAACATGAGCCAGCACGGCTTCTGTAGCAGTCCTGTGTTACAGTTTATTTAAGGACAAATATAGTGAACCCAAAGCTCAACATGAAAGATCAATCAGAGTTGTCCATTCCCTGACAGTGCAAGTGCTCATTAAGAATAGCCCTTATTATTGTTTATGTTCCTTCAGTTTTATTTTTATATTATTGTTGTGCCTAATGAAAAGACAGGATTCTTTCTTTTGTTGGTTGGTTTTTAATTTTTTGTAAGTTTTTTTAGAATGTTCTTTTAAAAACTAATTTTCTGCTTTTTTTTTTAAACAAACACTTATGCTAGTTTGTTTATCCAGACTTTTGTAAGCAAGACATTTGATGTAACTAGTCCTTCAGGTTTAAGTTGAACACCCCTGAAGTTGAGATTTCTCATAAAGCAGCCTGAGAGTGTAGGTTCTTATAAGGGCTTGTTTTTACAGAAGTCTGTAAAGCTCATATCTCTTGTGTTTCATATTCATAAAGGCTACCAGTATGTAGCCATCTGCTAAAAAAACATACAGATACCATCAAGATCATACTTGAAAAGATGGTGCAGGTGTTCAGACTTCAAAGAGAACATAAGACAGAGATCTGTTACTGTATATGGGGAGGAAATGGAAACACCGCTACAGTGGAGGTGGGAGGTGCAGTCCTTGGGGCACCTTATTATTTTCTGTAACATTCTGAAAGATATTTCTTTAGAAAACTTGAGTTGTATTAATCTGTCAGTATAGTTTCTTGTGCAAAACGTCTGTGAGAATAAATGCAGTTACATTGAAAATTCCAAAATCAAGTGTGAAAAATGTATTTAGGTTATGGAAAGACAGAAAGAGACAGCTCAGTTGTGGAAACTCATGCAGTCTGTACCTAGAAGACTTCACGCTGTCTTCTAAAAAAAATCCAAAATAAACCATAATAAATAATACTTTATTTCTGTACTTTGAGTACTTTTCTGATGGATACATATGTATAAATGATAACTTTAATTTGGAAAGTAATTAATAAACCTTAATACCTTAAACATGGTCAATTAAAGCCTGTAACAGACATTCAAGAACCATTTTACTGTGCGTGTTTGAGTTTTATGTTTCCTGTGGAGTCTGGTTGAATATGGTGGTATTGTTCAAAGACAGTTGGCCAGTGATGTCATATAGCACCAGAGCATTTAACCCTTTCAGACCCAAATTTTGCTTCAAGGAAATATTTTTATTCTAAATAATAAAAAAAACACATGCAAATAGGCATGTAGGTAAGTAAATGGTCAGAGTTGCTTATAATTACTTTTTACTGGCTATTTCTAGGCCATTAGGCTCAGTTTACACAGTAAAACTTTCATGCATCCAGTTGCATGCTGTGGGTTGCCTGCAACATAATCTATATATGTAGGGATCTTTACTATATATTTGAGTTTTTATCTGTTGAGAGTATCTTAAGCCTTTGAAAAGGAATGTTTAAGAGCTGTTACGGTTCTAGCCCACTTGATGTCTCTCTTATCCTCTCCTAAAAGCATAAGATATTATTTTGGTCTGCTCTTCTATAATAACTTTCACCAATTGGATCCCAAAGAAGTCAAAACCTGGGGGGCTGTCCTTTTCAACCACACAATAAACAATCTTCTGTTTTATTTTCTTGTCCGCTGATCTGGTGAAATCAGTCATTTGTCTTTCAACATGATCATGTGATTTGTTATCTGTGCTTTTGATGAAACTTGATTTGCCAGACTGAACCACCTGCAGCTCTTGAGGCTGAGTTTTATATGAGTTGCAAAATGCTTTAAATTATGCAACACAAGTTGCATGAGAGTTTCACTGTGCAAAGCCAGCTTTAAAATGTAATGTGAACACAGCAGTTTAATACTTTGGATGGTCAGTTTTCACTAACAAAATTATGCTTTAGCTTTGATTATTCAGCTTTTAGATTCATAACTGTCATATGTCATTATTATTATTTTGTCTATTGTGATATTTTTTGAGGTTGTAAAACATTGTGATGCAAATTTGAGTTCATATCGCCTAACTGTAAGTGCGCAGTGCAGTTCTGTAGTCGTCTATCAAGGGACAAAAGTAGTTTAGAGATTTTATGAGGACAACCTAATTCAAATGCACACCATGTTTGATTTGTTGGGTCTTGCAAGTTAAAATGTAGCTTCTGTTAGAAGCGTATTCCTGAGAGGGGAGGCTTAGAGAGATGGCGAACGAGACGATTTCTTCCCTCCTCTCTCCCTTTATCATTCTCTTTGAACAGTAATTGCTTGTTGTCAGCATCATAATTAGGTTGATGTGCTCTTTGTTCTCCCCATCCTTTGCCTCCCATTAGAAAAGACAAAAATAGGCTGGCGTATATTAGCAGTGTGTCTCTCGGCCAAATTGAACTATACATTGGATCTCCTCTATTTGTCTTTATCACAGCTTCTAGCTATCGTAATAAACAGAGTGATGGGTAGCTTTTCCGGTGGCTGGGTTTTTCAGGCTGAGTCCACTCCTTTTTTCTTCCTGAAATGCTTGAATAGCTTTTGACTGGCTGGTTCTTAAGCAGCTGGGCAGCAATGAAGCTTCCCTGGCCATTCAGTAATATCTAATGGACCATCATTTCCCATTGCGAGAATCAGCCATAGATAGACATTGTCAATATTGTCATACTGATAAAGCTGTTTAATGGTATTTCAGGAGGCAACTTCATTATCAGTTATACTACAGGCCAAAACCAAGGAGTCAGTCATGCAACATCAGTAGAATCAAACCTGTTCAACAAACAGCAAATATGTATTGACTTGTAGTTCACCTCCTGTTCACAGTAGCCATAAAGTAAAATTTCAAGTTTTGGAGGTCTCTCAGAACATTGAATGTGTTGGGTAGGCATGGGCATTTCAGATATTTATCTCTACCTGGCATCTTCAAGAGTGAATTGGTTTCACAGATGGGGTTTCTAACCCCTTCCCTTCACCCCTCATTGCTCACTAGCAGCTAAATGTTTAGCACAAAGAGAGCCAACAGTGTCCTAATTAAATTGGTAACAGAGTTAATGGAGCAGATGTATTTTATTTGAGTATATTAATCAAAAATATCTGAGTTGATTTCCATTACTAGATGACCTGTAGAAGGAGGCTACTCAAATTTTTTTCCCCTCCTACTGCTGTCTTCTTACTGTAATGTATTACATGGGAAAAGTCTTTTCTTAGCGTGCTAGCGTCTAGCATCCTGCTGGCCCATTCTCAAGATTGTCTCAGGCCAACCCCGTCTCTCTCTGTGTTCCAGTACTTGAGTAACGTGGAGCCATGGTGTAAGGCGTGCGGAGAGGGTGAGCTGCCCTCAGAGCTGCAGGACCTGGAGGACACTATCCACCACCACCAAGGCCTGTACGAGCACATCATGGCTGCCTACTCTGAGGTACCGCCCTTCTGCCTTCTTCTGAACTTTTGCAGCTTCATGGGTTCATTTAAATAGCTCAGTTGTAGAAGCTTTTACTTATGTTTCCTTCACTGTTGTCTGCAGTTATTACCAGATATTACCAAAGCATGTGTTTAAAATATCTTTCTTATTCATTTTTTATATTCATTATTTCTCACTCGCAGGTCATTGAAACAAGTGTACGTAGAAAATGAGATATTATATTGTGATTTAAATTTGAATTGAATTTTTTTTGTCATTTTTTGTTGCAAAAAAAAGGCAGAAATGCAGACTCAAACCTGTTAACAGTCAAGGTTAATCAAATGTAATTTATTCTAATTACTTTTAAATAATTATGCATAGTAAAGTATATAGCAAAACAACTCTAATAAGCCTGGGTTCTGAAGTATGAGGTTGATGCTAACATATAGAAAATTGCAGTTACAAGCCAAAGAGGCAGGTTTGCGATCAGTGTAGTGTTGGAATTAACTCAGACCTGAGTGTTTTTGAACCCTCGGTGTGGACTTTTGCAGGTGAGTCAAGACGGGAAGGCCCTGCTGGACAAACTCCAGCGCCCTTTGACCCCCGGCAGTGCCGATTCGCTGACAGCCTCAGCCAACTACTCGAAGGCTGTCAACCATGTGCTGGACATCATTCACGAGGTGCTGCACCACCAGCGGCAGCTGGAGAACATCTGGCAGCACCGCAAGCTCCGCCTCCACCAGCGCCTGCAGCTCTGCGTCTTCCAGCAGGACGTCCAGCAGGTAGGCCCCACCTTCCCAGTGCTGTCAGCCAATCCACAAGCCTTTCTGGGGGAAAAAGTGGTCATGATTACGTGATAAAACTCAATAAGAAACAGAGCCTGATAAACACATCCATTTAAATGCTTTTTGCCACACAGTGTTTCTGTTCATATATTTTTTAAAGTCTTTTTAAAGGCTTCCTAGTTTGTCTTTTTTAGTAAAATATTTTGAATATTTTAAAGGCTGTACATGGTTTGTTCACTTATAAACGATACAGCAGATAGTGACATCCCTATATCTGACATCACAAACTTTTACAAATTTTTAGAATTAATTGGCTCAGTTGCAACTGGTCAGGGCACATCAGGAGTGAACTGATATGGCTGCTTTTGTGGTTTTCTGGACATCAATAGCTGTGTTATATAGATGCTTCGGGTCCCTGGCTCAGGTCATTGTTATTCTGTCCTCGCTGTCTGATTGTCAGTAGTCTTTGGGTAACAAACTGCCGTGTCAGAAGGCCCTCGGAGGCCCGCGGATGATGAATGTCAAATAAGTTTCTTACTTATCTATTTGAAACAGGCTTCTGCTGCTCGACTGAGTTTGGAATAATGAGAGCGTATGAATGGGATTCAGGGGAATGCGAGGCATCTAATCATTGTAGCGGCTCATAGGCGTCCTAAATGAAAAATGTACCCTATTTTACCAAGCACCTCTGAAAGATGTAACGATAGCTACTGGCTCTTCTCTCTCAGGTTAAAGGAATAGTTTGCTGAAAAATCAAATGTATACAATTGTCCTCTTACAATTGGTCAGTCAACAAAGACATGTTTGCTTCTTTAGTTTTGTGCTGAAGCAAATGAGACGTAGCTAACAAGAAATAGAAGCTTAAATGTCTCCAATTAAGATCACGAAAACTGCATGTTTAACTCATCACAACCTCACCTCCATTTTGAATTGTTAAATAATCTCCAGAAAACTTGCTTATGTGGTTACTGACACTGTGTGACATACTATAAGCGTGGGCAATATAATGATATTTTAGCATTATCGTGATACCCAATACGCATTTCTGGGTATATCGTGGATATTGTCCGTTCTTAGAAACACTGACCAGCTGCATGCTTCGTTACAAAGAGAGTGTAATTAGTCCTGTTTAATTGAATTTTGTGTAGTGCAATGTGTGAAACGTACTTATTGTTTTATTTTATACTGTTTTATTCGCACCAGCGCTCTATGTCTGTCTGTCAAAATATGATACGTGTTGTGAAAATTTCAAGTATTGTGATACACTGTTTTCTTCATATAGCCCACAGCTAACATACTGTTATTTATTAAAATTGACCAACGAAAAACACTAGTAGGAGTATCAAATTTAATATTCTATAAGAATAAAGGCTTTTACAAATGTGATTTATGAATAAATATATTAATATGAGCACTTGCATAACAGACGGTATCTTGCACAAAAAACATGTTTTTTCGGATGGCGAAAATGTGACATTGTTTGCCCTCTGTTTTTTTTGCTAACTTTTGCTCACGAAAAAAATGCAGTGACCAATCATGGTCATCTCTGTTGGCATGGCAACAACCAAGCTGACGGAGCAGCTGTGTTCCAGCTAATAGAACTTTGTCACTAATGCTGAAAGGCTCAGAATCTCCCAAAGCAGATCAAACTGGACTCAAAATGGGCTACAAACATCATGTTAAATGTGTAAGAACTCAGTTTCAGCTTCTGAATGAAGCGATGAAGCTCTTCACGCTACTTTCACTTTTCCGAAGTAGTCCAGTGTCTCTGTCTGTCCGTTCTGCTGGGAGCAAAGAATTGATTCTTATTTGTACATTCAACCCATTTGTTTTGTGCTTTATCTAGTGTGGAGCTGCATGTCCAAAATCAGCTCAAACTCAGCTGAGATCTGAGCTGTGAGTGGAAGCCATGGTAAAGTTTCAGCTCTTGAAATGAGGTGGAGAAACTCTCCGCTCTCTTTTTGCATTTCCAAAGTGGAAAGCGCCCTGCACAGCATCACAGTTTGTCCGTTTTGTGAGAAACAAAGAACCTTTTTTGTCATAGTTGCTGTATATTCTGCTAATATATATTTTTGATATATGTTATGTCTGTTTTTTTTTGCCGTGCAAAAGACGAAAAAAAAATGCATTGTGTCTGATGAGTATAGTTTTGCTGTGAAAAAAATGCATTCTGAATCATTTTTGTGTTTTTCACATCATGTTCATTGTGTAAGCTTAATGATGTATAATATAATATTATCAGAATTATTAATTATCATTTCTAATTAATGTTGTGAATGTTGTTTGTTTTTAATGATTCTACTTATTTGATAAACTTGAAAGTTGAAAGTCCTTTAGAATGATTTGATGTGAAAGGATTCATTGTAGAGAATTTTACTGAAACTTATTAACTTTACTTACAGATTTCTTGACAGTGGTGGTGATAGGAACCAGGGGCCACAGTGTATACAGCGCAAATATAGAAATTTGGTTTAATGTAATCTTGATGATGGTAAAATAGTGTTAAGTCTGAAAAAAATCTTCAGGAAGAATGCAATACAATGCTTGTACCTCTCTGCCATGGGTGTGTTTAAAATTTTTTTTAGACCAGAAGCTTTTCTCAGAACTATCACAGAACAGTGTTTCAGGCCTCAGGCAGCACATTTGTAAGCATTTAATGTAATAGTACCTATACTAAATATTATTATAAAATAGACTGTTCTTTAACTAGTTTAAATAGTGCTGCTTTTGGCCTTCCGATAGATGCTAACTATATTTTGTTGCCTTGTACTTGTACTAAGCAATGACAATTTCAATCTACATCTAATAGCTTTCTGTGTGGGAGCTTTTAGATGTATTAAAAAACTTTGGACGCCTGGTTCCTATCACCTCCACTGTGAACAATTCTGACTAAATAAGTTTCTTCAGAATGATGCCTCTCACATTTTGAGAAGCATTTTGAATTGTTAAATAATCTCCAGAAAGCTTGCTTGTTTTCTTGCTTGTGAAAATCATGATGTAACATGGTAAGTGGTGTGAGCTACTTTTGCTTTAGCCTAACATTAGCCTCGTTTTCCCAGTGCAAAACTAGAAGCAAACTTCCAAGACCAAACATGTCTTTGCTGACTGGCCACATTTAAAATGAGAGGAAAATGTACACTTTTGATTTTTTCACCAAATTATTCTTTTGAAGTCTCTCTCTCCCCCTGTATCTCTCTCCCTCTCTCTTTCTCTCTCCCTTTCTCTTGCTCACTTTCCCTCTCCCTCCCTCCCTTCCTTTCTGTCTTTCTCTCTGTCTGTCTGTCTGTCTGTCTGTCTGTCTCTCTCTGTCTCCCCCCCTCCTCTCTTGTCCTCCTCCCTCTCAGGGTATCCTTAGAGGTTACCATGGTTACATTGTTGGGTAGGAGGTGTGTGGAGGGTATGCCCCATAAAGTCCTGCAGGCAGAGGAGTCCTCTGTATGGATTTGTGTAACAAATGAACGTGTGTGGTGTGTGTGTGTGTGGTGTGTGTGTGTGTGTGTGTGCACGCGCGGAGACGCTGAGAACGGCGTGTGCCAGGCTGAAGCAGATCAAAGGTGCTATAGTGAATAATGTATGAGTCACAGAGCTAGGTGTGTATGTGTGCGTGCTGCAGCAGCATGGTGAGATTTTGGAGAAAGGAAGGAAGCTGCTCTTTTCCATGTGAAATGAAAAACGTCTTTAGGTTTAAGCCATGGTGTGTAGGCTCTTTCATAAGAACGTGCTGAGTAAAACATTGACAAGTGCTTTCCCTAAAGGGGGAAGAGCATATTCAAAGGCTTTGAATTCCTGTATGCATAAATATTCTGTACAGTGAGACTTGATATCATACAGCACCAGTCAGAGGGTTGAGCGGTTTCTCATGAGGGGTCTTTTCATTTTCATTTCTTTATTCTGTTTTCCACATTTTAGAATACAAGTGAAGACACCGAAGCCATGACATAATGGGATTATGCACTGATCAAAAAAGTGTTAAACAAATCAAAATATCTATTAAATTCTTCAGAGCCCCCGTAATTTTTGATGCGTATTCTTTCGGTGTTCTCCTAAGCAGCTTTATGAAGAACCACCTGAAATGCTTTTTTCCAGCAGGAGTGAAGAAGATACGCACGTGCTGAGACATTGTTGGCTGCGTAACACTACTTGTTTGGAAATAATTCATACATATGTATTAATGTCATGATTTATTTTTGTCTTAGTGATAAGCTTTCATGCATTTAAAGGGAAATTTGTTTTGTTTGTTTCAGGCAAAGCTTATTGCAGAACTATTACAAAATAATGTCTCAGGCTTTAGGCAGCATATTCATAATCATTTTGTGTAATAACCTTCAGTGAGGGAGCTTTTAGACTCTTGTAAACTCTTTAGACGTCTGGTTCCTATCACCATCACTGTGAACAATTTTGACTGTGTGAGTTTCTCTAGAACGGTGCATTTCACACCAAACCACTCTGAGCGACTTGGTTTACATGCTAATGATTTGATTATGTGGAAATATGAGGAATTCCCCTTTAAGCTAAAGCTGTTCTGAAGAATATACATTTATAGATACAAAAATATACAGTAATATTCTTCTGTCAGGTACTGTACATAGACACAGTCACAGTCTTATGCCTTTTCTCAAGCACTGCATGTCTGTGATACTGATTGCAGCTTTATGAGCCCCTAAAGTCGTGAGCATCAATTACATTCAGTGCGAGGCCTGTCTGGATGAGGAGGATGACTTCACTGTGAGTGTGATGTCGCAGTGGCTTGTGTTGCTCCAAAGCGCCCCCTCCTGGTTTTTTAGAGCAAGTGCAGGCATTGACCTGAAATTTGTTTACAGACTCGTCTTGGTGCCCGAAGACTTCAGCTTTCTTGTTCGACTTTTAAGACAGTGCTGTCTGACTGTAATCAGCTCATCATCTCCAGGCTCTTTCATCAGGTTCTGATGATCTCTGCAAATAACTCTTAAATAACTACTCTTCTCGTTCCTTCTGCAGGTTCTGGACTGGATCGAAAACCATGGTGAGGCGTTCCTCAGTAAGCACACAGGTGTGGGGAAGTCTCTGCACAGAGCCAGGGCTCTTCAGAAGCGCCATGAGGACTTCGAGGAAGTGGCACAGGTGAGGAGAATAAGTTCAGCTGTGGAGAACCATGCAGAAATTATGACTTTGTTCATTCAAACGTGTGACCACCAAACATCCTCCCTGTTATCTGCTTTTCTTTTAAGAACCATAGCAATGTATTGATCTGAAGCATCATATTCAACTGTGTTGATTTTGGAGGAAATAAATAATTCCTCTCCTTAGGCATAAAAGTTAAAAGATGGATATAGTGTGTTGTGTTTTACTGTATATTCCACTACTCCATACACAATCACATTTGTGGGTTCAGTGTATTTTAAAGAACACTGCTGAATCGTACCAAAATAACCAAATCGAATCAGATTCAATCATGGTCATATTCAGTCACAGTTCACAGTGAGTCAAAACAGCTCTTTACATTTATACGCGATTGTTTGGGCCCCTGGGCATGCGCACATAAAACCCATGGGATGATCCGGGCCTGTGTACAAACGAAGGGGTCCTTATAGGATAGTGCTACTGAGGACCCACCTTTGTTGGCTGCAGGCTAGCTTTTTGGAACTTTTTGCCATTGAGACACCGTAGAAAATGTCTGAATCCTTAAGTAGTGTAAGGGGTTTATTTGAGATGGACTCTTCTTTTTCATTGTTGATATTTTTTGTCCTCAAGAGAGAACTAATTGAAAATTGGCTAATGTTATGTAGACAATTGGTTAAAACATCTTCATTTCTTGCAAACAGATTCCAAGACAGTCACTCCTTGTAATCAAATCTTTTTAGGTATAAGGAGCTGAAGATCTGCACTTGTGGAAATCCTGGACTGTCTGGCTGCTGTGATTTGTGTCTGTTTGGATCTCTTTTAGAACACATACACCAACGCTGATAAGCTGCTGGAGGCTGCAGAGCAGTTGGCTCAGACAGGCGAGTGTGACCCAGAGGAGATCTATCAGGCCGCCCACCAGCTAGAGGACCGCATCCAGGACTTCGTGAGACGAGTGGAGCAGCGCAAAGTTCTGCTGGACATGTCCGTGGCCTTCCATACCCACGGCAAAGAGGTGAGGGGAGATCAGGAGTGCCTGCCTGTTAGCATGACTAAGACTCAGGTTCTCATTGCAGTCCTGGAGTGACCCTTACACTGTACAGATTGGGATTTCGTCCCTCTGACACAAATTACTTGACTTTAGCTGATGCTCTTTGTTTACAGTATCAGACCACAGTTCACAGCCCTGTTTTAAAGGGCCCATATTCTTCATTTGTCTTGCACTCTCCCCCGCACCTATAATGTTTGTGTGGTTTTATCTACTGAAAAACATAATTTATTCTTACTTAAACATATTCATACCATTCCTGTAGAATTAAACAGTCTATATTTGTTAAAACTGATATATGTAAATAAGCTCTGTTCTTATTGGCCGTGCTGTTTTGTGCCTGTTTCAAAAAGCAGTTTGGGCTGAAACACTCCCTATAACTTCAACAAGAATGGGCGGAGCTAAACGACCGTAGGCTTAATAGGCAGGTACATGTACATGCTTTGATTTTGTGATATAACTAAAACAATAAATTTAAAACTGTTTGTTTTAAAGTATAGTTCTTATATATGGCCTGTTTGGTGTTAGAACCAGTTGGTTTCAAACTTGTAAACGATGTTTACATACTACATCCACCTTATTTTAAAATTGCAAAAAAAAGTCAGGTTTTTTATCATAAGTAAATCTGCCCCATCACAATAACATCCTCTCCACCAGGAATTTGGAAAATAAGCTTGTGCTCCCACTCTGTTGCCTTCTTGTCAGAAGAGTTCAATTTCATTGTTTTACTCCACAACTCTGCAGCATGCTGTACAGCTGTTGGCCACTAACTAGCTCAATTTTCAGAGAAAAGCAGCCCTCGTTCTTCCCGAAACAGCAGCGTTCCCTCAAACCTCAGACCACTGGAGCACAGATGGATGCTGAACTCTTGCGCATGTTTGTAGTCCATGCAGACGTAGTGCTGATGATTATGTATCATCTACAATGCCATATTTGATAGGACAAAACAATGCTTTCTTTATTGTGCCCATATGCTGCTGTGTTATCCATCTGCTAGCAGAGCGGTTGCAGAGGCTTCAGGTTCAGAGCAAGGTGTGTGTGTGTATTAGTGATGGAAAATGAGAGAGGTTGAGATGGAGAAGGACTACGGGGTGGATTGGAGAGGCAGTGTTGGGCTTGCTGGGAAATGAGTTTGGCTGTGTTTGCCATGCCAGCACAGGCAGATGGCTAATCCTGTGAGCTCACCCTCCACCAGGCCATTGAGAAAACAACAGCGGCCGGAAAGCCTAGTCTCACTAGATCACCACGTCTGCCCAGCCCATCTTTACTGCTGGCCTTTATGCATTAGTCCACTTGAGTCCATCTAGGCCTCAAAATGAAGCATCAAATTAAGGCTAGATTTATTAGATTAGCAGAAGCTTGCTTTACCTCCTAATGCAGCTGCATTTGTTTGTGCCCAGGATTGAGCCTAAAGTTGCAGCTACTGATATCTATGATATAAATTCTGCCAAGGGATAAAAAACTTCTGTAATCTTCTGTAGACTGTCAGAACTTTTACTATACTCCAACAGCTACAGCAACGTACCCTCATCCTTCAACTTCACCCAATGGCACTGTTCGTTATCCCATTTGGACTCTTAAAAGCCACTTAAAAGCTAATCAAGCATTATATTATGTAAGCACATATATTTTTATATTCAGGAGTTTATTTTCCATCCTCAGGGCCTGCTTTAGCCTTTTGAGGGCACTTAGCAAGATTTTCTTGGGTGCCCAAACTGTAAAATTAAAGGCTGACTAATAACAATGACTACCGCAAGTCTAAACTAAATAAACACATACATGCACGGGATTAATCAGAGCCTGAAATCTAAACCTGGATTAACAGAGAAAGTTGTTAACTGCTGTTATGTAACAATGTAACCATGCCTGTGCTTGTTAGGTTTTCTGAAGCTGAAAGGTAATCGGAAAGCCTGTCTAAGTTGAACTTGCTTTGTTAGACAGATCCACTCCTTCTAGTTGTCCAACCTCAAGCTAAACAAGTGGCATAACAATAACGCCACAAAAAAACTTTATCTTTAAGCTTTTTCTCCTTATCAGCTCTTTTTTATCTCAGATGTTTTCTTATTTCTTTTAGTGCTCAAGTTGAACCTGAGAAACTTACTGGGACTGTTAGCCAGTGTGTGTGTTTCATTGAGTATCATTGGCTTAAAGTGTAATGATAACTTCTTTGCCATTACCTCTTGATGAATCGTTGTTGTTGATGAGAACATTTGAGCGTTCAGAGCGGTCAGTGGGTCCCCAAGACTGAAGTTGAGAACTGCTGGGTTAGTTAACTAGTTGTGCCACTCCTTCTGCTAACATAGTGATTCCCTGTGCAGCTGTGGACGTGGCTGGAGGAGCTGCAGAAGGAGCTGCTGGACGATGTGTATGCAGAGTCTGTAGAGGCGGTGCAGGACCTAATCAAGCGCTTTGGCCAGCAGCAGCAGACCACCCTGCAGGTCACCGTCAACGTCATCAAGGAGGGAGAGGACCTCATCCAGCAGCTCAGGTACATAAACATCACTGTGCGCTACCTCACCAGACCAGTACTGAAAGTGAGTATATACTGAGTATAGATCAAATCCATGAGCTTTAGTGGAAGAGATGAGACTCAAACACACCTTTTTATACAAAGGCTTTAACAGGGTTGGGTGTCACAAATCTGCTTAAATTTGAACAGTGACCTAGAAGTAGTGTAAAATTCAATATTTCGTTTTTGTTTTACTTGTGATAACTTTGTTTTAATTTTTTCAAAATTCTTAATCTTTCTGTTGCTTATTTCTAAGTTTAAATAGAAATATCCCAGATTGTCAATGTGGTGTGATAGTTTTGGACATCACTGTGTTTGACTATATAGCACAAATTTGAAACTACAGATTATTGTCTGTGGTAACTGATGGTCCAATACAGATGCAACACAAAGAGATTAGATAGAAAAACACTTTGAATATTCTTTTAACAGCTGCATTCTTCTCTTGCAGAGACTCGGCCATCTCCAGTAACAAGACGCCTCACAACAGCTCCATGGCCCACATTGAGAGTGTTCTGCAGCAGCTGGATGAGGCTCAGGCCCGCATGGAGGAGCTCTTCCAGGAGAGAAAGATCAAACTGGAGCTCTTCCTGCAGCTCCGCATCTTCGAGAGGGATGCAATCGATGTGAGTCCAAAAACAGCATCACCAAGGCTGCGATGTCTGTGGCTGTTTTTAACCTGAGCTGATTTGTGTGTTCACCCAATTGACACCTTTAGCTGTAAAATGTGCATGGTCTAAACTGTGAAAGATCATCTTCTGGATGTTTAGACCTTGAAAACCTGATGAGATGTCTACAAAGGTGACTAAATTTAGCTAATAGCCAGAAAGTGTTTTTCCAACCCTTGATTCATCCCTCTTTAGGTACTATGCCCAGACTCTAAAAACAGAGACTATATTAGAACCTGCTACCTGCTACCCACTACCTCATTTGTCAGTTTCTGACCGCAGGACCTTCGGCCAGACGTTACTGATTTTATTTGAGTGGTGGACCATTTTCAATACAACATTGTATCAGGAATTTCACCGCGTCAGTGTCACTGCCAGGTTAAGAGTGGTGCACTACAAAACATTCAAGCCAACAGCATCTGTGGACAGACACTGAAAAAATAGGATTTTGCATTAAAACATCCAGCATTTACCTCTCCACCATGAATGATATTTAAAAATATATTTTATGCCAAAACCATAACCATTCATGCAGTAACCTTCAGTGGTGTAGCTTTTAGAAACATTGAACTCTTCAGATGCTGCTTTCCATCAACACCACTGTAAACAGTTCTGACTAGGTAAAGTTTTAAATGGTTTCTAGAATAGAGCACCTCACATGAATGAGCACTTCACTCTGAATGGCTACATTTGAACCATTTAATTATGCAGAAATGTTGGAAAACTGGTAAAATTTCCCTTTAATGCTACCACTTTGCATGAGAACAGATAAGCTGCAAGCTTTAGTGGTTCACGTATAAAGTGGACATAAAACGTAAGTGAGCTCATAAAGTGGCCAGTGAGTAGAAGAGTAATAAAGTGGACAGTCAGCGCATATGATACAACTACAGCAGTCCAGCATACTTTAGCCTAACAAACCTATTTATTCATTATACGAAACCTGATCTAGAGTAATCTGAATCCCATAAAGGACTGTGCTCTTTTGTGATCCATCTATGGCTCTGATGTAACCCAATACTCCCCGTGCTATCGTTTTCATGAGCAGGCTCATGGCCATAGGAGCTGCCGTCAGTGGGGGTCCTCAGGTAAAAGGGGGTAGGTTTTGAGTGGCGAATGAGAAAGTGTTTTCCCGTCTCGTCTATAAGCTCGCTGTAGGGGGATCAAGTTACAAAAACCATCTAAGCTTGGATAAATGTTAGCGATATAAGAGGATTAGCGCAATGCCCGTTTACACGTTTAAAACTAATAAAAAGAAGTGAAATGAAAGCAAGCCGTAAAGCCTAAGCCACTTACTCAGAGCTGGGTGGAGACTCGGCCGTCAGTCAGAGCAGTGCGGCGCCGGGGCATGCGGACGGGCGTGTGAGCTTTTATGTGTGTGTGTGTCTCCCTAAACGCTCCTCAAACACACCCTCAGCACTGTGCTTCCTGCCTGCCACCTACTGCGCTACGTGTCTCCCAGCGTCCGTGCGGTTTAGGGACCCCGCTAGAAGAACTGGGTGATAAAGATGTTTCTTCAGATCTATGACCGGACCCTTCATGGCTGCAGGGATACAGAGTACGTTTTCCAGGTTCCTCCAGGCTGAATGGAGTTAAACGCGTAAATTTTACACTGATTATTCAGTATTTGAGCTTCAAATCTGTTATTCATACATTATTCAGTAACTATAAACTGTAAATGACTAAGTACCTGTTATGTATAGTAATGAGAGTGGGGAGCGTACAGGCCCTTAAGGTTTAAGGGGTTACAGGCTCTGAGAGCCGCATTTTGTCTTTGGAACCTCCATGTTATGCATTCAACAAGGGAGGTATTGTTGCAGAGCCTGAGGACAAATGCAGAAGGTCGAGCAAAGCTACAGTGCCAGTAATATCAGATTGGATCTATGTTTTTATATCTAAAGGCTTACAGTTAAATGCTGTACATTTGTACAAATGTAAATAGTGAAGTTGGTGCTTATGTATGAGTTTACTTCCTTATTAATGTGCCCCCCCAAACAAGTGGTTTTCTGGCAAGTGCTCAGCATATGTGGAACTTTAGGACTGTTGGAGAAGCATCTCAGGGGGCTCCTCTTGAAGCTGCTTGAGAGAAGAGTGCACAAAGCTGCCACAAGTTACAAGGGGGCTGTTTTATATAAGAGTCTAAAATCTGAGACAGTTTTGATTTCTTTAATATTTATTTCATGTCATTTTCATTTGTGCCATTTCACAGTTTTAATGTATTCGCTATTGTTCTAAAACTTGAGGAACAAAGTGAAAATAAGTAACACCTTTCTGCGCGTAGGTGTGTCCAGACTGTTCACTGGTGCTGTAGACTGAGTAGGAACATTGTGAAGCTTTATTTGAGGAGACATAACAGTTTGGCACTGGGACAGTTGGCTGGGTTTTTGGTGATTCATGTAGCCTTTTTTTCCCACCGTGAGGTGGTTAGTGCTGAAATCTCCTTGGTTGTTCTTTGAGAAATGTTCTGACTTTTCAATTATAATTTCTAAGTGTAACAAACTTGTGCTTCTCAGTGGTGATAATTCCTTGGCGGGCTAGAGTGGAGTATGGATTATTTGTCCTGTTGAAGAAGAGGCAAAATACTTTTTATAAAACATTTCTGGCTCAAAAATCTTCTAAAAATCTTAACACTTGGTGTTAGATAGGCTGCACAATCGTAGTTGTGTAGTGTAGCAGTAGTGGCTCTGGTGTGGGAAGATGGTGCTGTAGTAATGAATAGTGTTGCAGAGGAGTAGGATAATAACAGCTCTCTGCCAGAGGAACGCAATTGTGTACACATACACAGAGGATTGGAAACCACTGGGATATTGAATCAATTTAGATTTTGTCACTGGAAAAACCTGCTCCTCCTCTCCTGTCTTATTTATTTATGTATGTATTTATTTATACATCATTTGAAAATTCCAGCTTGGAAATGCCTTAATGGAGAAATCCACTGATTTAATTAAATTGTGGAGATGTAAACATTCATTCAGAGTGGTTTTGATATGAACTGTTCCATTACAGAGAAATGTAAAAAAAAAGAAAGAGAAAGAATTGTTCTCAGCAGTGGTTATAGGAACTAGGAGTCACGATATAGCTCTTTTCTTTATGTTGGTAATGGTAAAACAGTGTTAAATGTTTTTTTCTTTGGGAACTGTTTTGCTTTACAACACCCTGCATGATTTCTTTGCCATGACAAAATACTTTTTTTAAGAAGTTTTTTAATTGAAATTGTTTTAAAAAATAAATTTAAATTAAAACTTCACAATGTCTCAGACTTCAAACATCAGTAATAACTTTCTGTGAGGGAGCTTTAGAGGCAATATAGGCTTTGGACACCAGGTTCCTATCACCAATTATACAGAATTTTTGCAAAATCAGTGTATATTCTTATATTCTTAAACTGTGTAAGATTTGGGGATTTGGAGACCTCTCTGGTGGAAATGTGTAATTGCATGAAATGTATGAAAGAACAGTTTTTTATTATGGGTTGTGCTTTAGTCCCCTTCCCCAAGCAGATGAATCTGATGATTGTCAGCGCGTTGAAAGAGTATTCAAAGAGAACTCAGTCACAACTTGGTGAGGGACATGTCTTTTAAAGGATGTAACTTAATTATCTACCATTGTCATCATGCCCTCATCAATGTAATGCTGAGTTTGCATTTGAGACCTAAACTTCGAGCCAGATCTTCTTTTTGAGCCTGTGTATGTGTGACGTTAATATGTAAAGACGTATGATGAGGTCCAAAAAACCTTCTGTCTCATGGAATGGGGAGTTTGATGACTCCTTGGGATGTCCTCAGGATGATGGGAAAACGTGAACATTTTGATGCTGTGTGGATGTTTGTGTGCTCCCCACAAGGAGAAATACCCCTTTTAATAGTAAAAATACAGCTTTTATTAGAAACAATGAAAGCGGATAAAGCTGGTCTTTTGCTTGCTGAGGTTAAGGTTAGATATGGTTAAGCGGACCACAGCAGCACTTAGATACAGTCATACAGAAGAACATAGAAACACCTCACAAAGACAGGAAAACACTCCACTGTGTGTGTTTGATCACTCTTTATATCTTTCTATGTGTAGGTCATCTCGGACCTGGAGTCATGGAACGAGGAGTTGTCTCAGCAGATGGGGGAATTTGACACAGAAGATTTGACTCTGGCGGAGCAGCGGCTGCAGCACCATGCTGATAAAGCTCTCACCATGAACAACCTCACCTTCCACGTCGTCCACCAGGGACAGGAGCTGCTGCAGTACGTCACTGAAGTGCAGGCTTCAGGTGAGCACATGCAAACATGCAGAATCAGTGGCCACTTTATTAGAAACCCCTGCATTGCAGGTCCACCCTGCTGGTGTACACAGGTGTCAATTTCTCGCACACAGCTTGTATAATGTTCGTAGAAAAGTATTGTCAGTAGAATGGGATGCTCTGGAGCAGCAGCACACAAGCCTAAAGTCACCGTGCTCCTCAGCATTGGGCCGTGGAGCAGTGGAACTGTGTTATCTGCAGTGGTGGAACATGATTGGGATGAGTTAGAAGATTAGGGGCTGGTAATGCAGTAAAGAGGGAACAAATTCTCTATTTATACTCTTGATTTCAGTAGAAACACTGGACTGTAAATGTATATACACACATGCACATCAAAAACCAGAACATGACCTTTGACTGAAGGGTTCAGAGCTCAAGAGTTCTTCGTCTGATATCCACTGCTGTGCACAGATCACTGACCAAACGTTGCTCCATGAGTGGGAATGTTGCTCTGTCAGCCTCAGCAGCCTTGGCTAAGTGCAGATACAGCTCAGTGGGCCTTTCATCCTTAAAGAGAAGGGAAAAATATTTTGTGCATGTTACAGTTTGCATGAGAGCACAGAGTCCATGAGAGCACATCGCCAGTATACAACTGACCTGTCCATGCTCTACCAACGCATGCGTTCTTTCTTTGTTATTGTTAAGAGGTTGGAAAAGCTTTACATCTACAGGTAAAAATCCTATTCAGCTGAAGGAGAAACTTGTAGTGCTCAACAGAGTTTTGGCAAAGTGTCTATGTTTTGATTGTTTCATTGATTTCAAATGATAATCATTTTGCATATGTGTGAAAAGTCACACATGTACAAAATAAGATCTATGAATTCCACCTCTGTCTCTTCTGGCTTCTAGGATTATTATCCTTAACAAAACTATTGTGAAAATGAAAACTAGCAGGGACGTGCATTGATTCGCTGTAAAAAATGAAAACAACAGTTTTTGAAAACACAAAAACTAAACTAAAACTGTAATTTCCACTGTGAAATGCTTGATAGACAGTTTTGAAGTGGATTCCAGTTCCGAATCTTAAATACCCAGGACAAGCTAAAACTGAAACAAAAAAACTAAACTAAAACTTTTAGAAAATAAAAACAAAACAAGCATTTTTTAATGCACTCCTCAACCTGACTGAAACTGTCCTGACATTAAACCCAGAGTAAGACACTAAATACAATAAAAAAATTTGATACAGCTGTAGCATAATGTCATACTTTCTGTTTTTACCATAACGTTAAAATATATGGCAGGCACAGCCAGGAGAGTGCTGTCTGTAAATCCTGCTCAGTAACCTAAGCCATGCTAAAGTAGCTGGTGATGTGGTATGTATGTCTAAAACCTTTATTACTCACCGAGAATGTCCTGATTTTCACAACAGGCAAATAAGAATCAATTGAAATGAATAACACACTCAAAATTTAGGTATTTGACAGTAGCTGAGTTGTATCACATTATGTTAAATGGGAGTTCAGTCAGTGTCCTGTGAAGCTTGTCCACAAGGCATAAATAGGTCAGTTGGAAATGTTGTAAAAGGAAAAGTATAAAATATACTAATTTGTTATAAAGTAAATTTATGGTTAAATTTACTGTATAGCCTCTATATAGCCTCTCCTCTTCCTTCTGAAGCGCTTAATCTAGAGCAGCTTAGTAAAGCAGAGGATTTAAGATCAGACTGCAGAGCTGTAGGAGCTGATTGTCTTGTGTTTGAATGGGAAATGAGAAAAAGCAGAACTGATGCAGTCGGTCAGCGTTAATATTGTTCAGAAAGCTCAGGCAGAACTGACGGTAGTGTGTGTGGAGTGAGAAGGTGTTTGTGTGTCTGAGTGTGCGCTAATGCAGAACTACATGTGACACTTGTGGGGCAGTTTTGTGGGGCAGTTTTGGCTCTGTTAAAGTGGTGTATAAGGGAGAAAATGAGCTCTGTGTGTACAGATGTGTGTGTTTAGCTCTTTGTGGGGGCTAAATGCCCCTATGTTGATGACAAACATAAACATTTTGACGTTGTGGAGAGATTTGGCTGCTCTCCACAAGGATTTTTTTCCCCAAAAACTGCAGCTTTAAACAGAAAAAGAGGCCAAAGATTTGCTTTCAGTCCCCGAAGGTAAAACAATAAGGTGTAGTTACGTGTGCATTTTGCATGGTGCTACTTGGCTTCCATTTCTTGCCAGCTACACTGGCTTTGTAACTCCATTGCAAAAGTAAAGAAGCAAACTTACTTAGGATGCGATGTCTTGGCGGACACAAAAACTGTGCAAATTAGATTTTGTTGAATTATCATTTTAAAAGGAAATTCCACTGATTTTGGGAAATGTCTGCGTAATTAAATGGCTAAGATGTAAACAAAGTCATTCAGAGTGGTTTGATGTGAAATGCTCTGTTCTAAAGAAAATTACAGAGTCAGAATTGCTCACAGTGGTGGTGAAAAGGACTCCCTCACATAGTTGTTACATGAAATGGTTGCGAATATAATACCTGATTGCTTTGAGATAAACTTTTAGAACAAAATAAATTCATTTTTATATGTTTTATATACAAATGGTCCCCAAAGAAAAGTTTTTTTTTCAGATTTACCTCTATTTTACCATCATCAACTTTACATGTAATAACTAAAAAAACACACTTAGGTCCACTGGTCATTTTGCAGTCATTTTGTGGTCATTTTGTGTTTACAGTGTGATCTCTGGTTCCATACACCAGCTATGTAAAGAAATCTGAGTCAGAACGTTTCTCTACAATTAACCATTTCACAACAGACCACTCTGAATGACTTTACATCTCAGTAATTGAATTATGCAGAAATTTTGGAAAATCAGTGGAATTCCCCTTTGAGATCTGTTCACTTTCAGCAACATTAAATTAAAACACTACTTTGACCAAAACTTGCAAATGTGTCTAACACTGAATAGAAGCTAACAGCCACCAAGGTTATAATGTTAGCATGGGACACATGTAATGACAGGGAAGCGCACTTGTGTATGCTGGAGTGTGCATGTGTGTGTGAGAGTGCCTCCTGCAGTAAGCTGTGCTCTGCAGTCAGTAGATCACTGTCAGGTCAACTGATGAGGGTGAGTGAGTGAGCCCAGGCCACAGTAGGCTTAATGGGGGCGGGGTGGCTGACACTAATGCTACAGGCTAAAGCTCCCTCAGCGGGAGCACACGAGCAGCCCGGCCCGCCTGCACACCACTGTAATCCTATACACTCATACTGACCGCTGGACATCCTGCATGGACTGCCTCTGTCTCGCACACACTCTCAGATTTGAAACTCTCAGACCTGCACGCAGGCAGCTGAATACACTGCAAAGCCCCATTTCAGCAGTAGACGGCTGAACCTCTGCACTTCTGCACTCAGACAGTGGAGCGCTCTCTCTGTCTGAGGTTCAGCACAATGCAGCTTTGGGCGGCAGGGGTGAAGTGTGAGTATAAGAGGGGATGCGTGTGTGTGTGCGTGTTCAGGGTCCTGTGTAGTTAGTGTTATTGTCACGCTGCTTAACTTCCCTTTTAGTCTGTGAATATTTTTCTACCACTTGAGTTAAAAGAGCTTGTATCCTACATTTTTCTCATGTTTTATTCTAACCTCCTGAGGTTCACTTACAACACTGATGTGGTTTTATGTACCAAAACAGTTGTATTTCATTTTAAGTAACTATTTTCCAACCTCTCTGTATCTCTTAGCATTTAACAGTGTTTTTTTCTGTGCATTTAAGACTGTTGTATGAAAGTGAACTATGTTTTGATTGGCTACCCTGTATTGTGGCTCATTCAAAAAGAAGTCCAGGCTGAAACACCCCTTAAAACTTCAGTGTGAATAGGTGGAGCTAAACTGCTGTTCACTGAAAAGGTGGATTTATGTAAGTGAGCTGTTTTTTGTGACGTCACGACAGTACTAAGTTCAAAATGGCCTGTTTTTTGCAGCGTATTTGGTCTGTATGGACTGGCCAGTGAATGTAACGCTTTGAAACTTTTAACAGTGTTATTTAATAGTTTTATTGAAAAAAAAGTGAGGAAAAATATGTTTTCTATGCAATGGACCCTTTAAAGAAGCAGTACAGTCAAAATAGCTAGTGTTGCTAAATGAAAATGAACAGCCCCCTTTTAGCTTTATGCAAACGATGTCATGCCAATTGGTGGCTACTAGCTTTAATTTGCTGTTAGAGACATAAGCATTTTTTAGTCAAGCTGTAGACTTAATATAATGCTGCTGAAAGTGAACATATCTCAAAGGAGAATTCCAGCAGTTTTTCAAAAATTCTGCATAATTCAGCTGTTGAGATGTAAACAAAGTCGTTCAGAGTGTTTTTTGTGAAATGGAGCATTGTGTAATAGCTTACTGACTCAATTTTTTTTTGATGTGTTGATGATAGGAACCAGGGATCATAATGTCTACATTAGCCAATATTATCCCGCATTTGTTTATTTCAAATCAGGACCACCACTGCTCCTTTATAAAAAGCTTACTGTGCAACCCTATCAGTAAGTGGTAATGATGGTAGTACGTGCGGTGCTGGTATGAGTGTATCAGCCACAGCGGTGTGACTGGAGTGTTTGCACACCTCAGTGTCGCTGCTAGGTTGAGAGTCATCCACCGCAGCTCTGTGGTCAGAAACTTACCATGGGTGAAATTGTGCATCAGTAGATGAGCTAACTGTACACCAGCAAGGTGAAGCTACAAGATAGCATTTTTTCCATCCTTAATCCTTAGAATTTAACTTGTAATTTCTCTCTCTCTCTCTCTCTCTCTCCAGGTGTGGAGTTGTTGTGTGACCGGGATGTGGACATGGCCACTCGAGTGCAGGACTTGCTGGACTTTCTGCGTGAGAAGCAGCAGGAGCTGGATGCGGCTGCTGAGCAACACCGCCGTCACCTGGAGCAGTGTGTGCAGCTGCGCCACCTGCAGGCCGAAGTCAAACAGGTGATTCACCCAAGCCTGCAAATTTTCGTTCAGCTGATGCGTATATATACGTTTTTACCGTTACCTAGATCAGTGTATGTGTCACGCCAGAATGCACCAGAGGCAGTTTATAGGAAGACTATAAACTTCCACTCGCCATGGATGCTTCTTTTGGGTCTAAAGATGGTACACTTGCTAGTAGAGGTCCTGTCATGCACAAATTTCATGATACAATACGTATTTCTGTTTTTGCATCACAATCTGATATGTTTTCAATACAGAATTGGAAAAGAAATGCTGACATAACTTTCACGTTATTTATTTTTATTGGTAATTCTGTTTTTTTTTTTTTCCTGAAGAAGACAACAGTGCCTGTGCACAAGTCAGACAAACTGCAGAATTCAGGACTCTCTGAGGACTCTCAGAATTCAGGACAATTGAGCAGCTATCAGAAACTGTAAACAGCCCTGTGGAGTTTTATGTTTCGCTCATTCAGAATCAGTACTTAGTGGCTCCTTGAATCCTATATGGAGCAGCAGCTGCTGAGACTCACATTTTCACCTCACTCCAGTTGAGTTAGTATAGTTGAGGTATTAGCCCCAGTACTGCAGTACTAGTGTCGGCCCGCTGTCACCGTTCAGTCTACCACCCTTTGCATGTTGTTATCTTCCTCGAGTGGGAAGCCGAAGTGTTCACAAACAGGAGATTATTACAAGTTCTCTTCAGTTGTTTCAGCTCAAGCTTGCTCCCTCCGCTGGCCATTTCAAGCAGCTTGGCTAATCAACTATTCAAGGTAGACATTAGAATTCTCCTTAGGGGCCAAAGTGTAAATGCTGCACCATTTACGGTGGTCTCCACTGATACAGGGCTTCAGTTTTGGAGATATCAAATGAGAGTCTTATTCTGTTGTAGGCTTTTACTATCGCAGTAGGCACTGTTTACTGGGTTTCTGATGTGTGTGATATCAGAATATTATGGACAGGAGGCAAGACTAACTCAAAGTCAAAGGCAAAGCAAAATAAAGAATTCATCTAAAATTTCAAAATGTACCATTCACTCCTCACTCGATATAAAGTCACAACATGGAAACTAAGCTACAAAAACAGCCCATTTTGAATGCACTGTTTTTGTCATGAAAACCAAACATATTTACATACATCCGCCTATGTAGCATACATCAGTTTAGCTCTGCCCATTCATGCTGAAGTTATAAGAAGTGTTTAGCCTGGAAGCCGCAACATATCGCTGTTAAAGAAACAGTAATCAAAACATCCTGTTTAGGTGTGAGTGTTGAAGACGGGGTGGAAGATGAAGTGTGACTGTTTTTTGGTACATAAAACCACCCAAACGTTATAAGCTGATATGGGCCTTTAAACCTGCAGTAGAGCAGCGGATGAAGCTAGTGGGTGAGGTAAAGCAGGTAATACGCACATATATGCACAGTGCACATAAATATTCTCAATTTCTCAATACTGCTGTCACATGGAACTGTGTTTGCTGCAACTTTTGGGCGGAGGACAAAGAAGCACACACATATTCACTTCACAGCTCAGTACACACTTCATCAGCTAAACACACACACTCTGTCAAAGCCACAGTAATCCACTACAGAGACCCTTTTAAGGATTCATCTTTGAACATAAAAGATGGGTTGTAGGAACAGATGCTGCAGGTACTGTCTGTACTGGCAGTGAACAAGGTGCAAGTCAGTAGCAATCTTCTATGTCTGCTTTGACATGAACTTATATGGAACAACAAGACGCATATTGACTCTGAGGTGATCATTGTGAAACTAAAACTTCAGCTTCTGTTTGTTCGCGTGGTAAGAATAAATGCTCTTGCTGTACATTCTGGGAATATGTAGCCTAGCTTGTGAGCCACCTGTATATGAGTTAGATAAGTAAGAAACAACCAAACACCCAAACCACCTGGGAAAAGTAAATGTGCTGCTTTTTTGGCCACTAAAAACAAGCCTTGAGCTTAATTTATAAAAAATAATTTCAGCCAATAGGGCACTATGCTTCATTTGTAGTTTTGTTACCCTGTCGTTTGGGGATGGGGTTGGGAGGGTGGATATGGGTTTTACTGGGTCGTTCTATAGTTGTTAGATTACAAAAGGCACTCAGTGTTCAGTCTCTCACATGGGCCACACATATAGTCAAGACATACATCCTTTTTCTGGTAAGATATGGATAGTCTATATAAATGTACTACATGGAACGTAAAGGGTTTGGGCCACGCAGTTAAGCGGAAAAAAATTTTAACCTTTTTGAAAAAAGAGAAAACTTCTATAGCAATTCTCCAGGAGACGCACCTTTCCGATAAAGAGCATTTAAAATTAAAAAGAGATTGGGTTGGGCAGGTTTTCTTCTCCTCTTATTCCTCAATGCCACACAGAAGAGGTACTGCAATCTTAATTAGTAAGCGTCTACCGTTTATATGTGAATCTCAAATTAATGACCCTGAGGGAAGATTTGTTTTAATTTCAGGTATACTGTTGGGTCAACATGTTACCATACTTAGTGTCTATGCCCCCAATGAGGATTCCCCCAAATTTATGTTGGACATAGTATTATCTTTTAATCAACATTGTAAAGGGATGGGACTCTTGGCAGGTGACTTTAACTGCACATTGGACCATGTAATGGATAGATCTTCACCCAGCACATTTTCTAATTCTAGATCTTCGTCAGTTTTAAAAGACATGTGTAAGAATACTGATCTAGTTGATATCTGGCGAGAACTAAACCCATCGACTAGAAATTACACTTTTTATTCTAACCCACATGCTTCTTATTCCAGAATCGACTATATCTTTATCCCAAGTAGCTTTGTCCACACAGTCCAGTCCTGCCAGATTGGTTCAATTGTCTTATCAGATCATGCCCCAGTTAGTGTACATGTTAATTTTGGCACTCCTGTATGTAAAAGCAGACTCTGGAGATTTAACTGTTCCCTTCTATCGGATTCTGCATTCTGTGACCTAGTGCGTTACTGGATCAAAGAATATTGGGAATTTAACAAGGACTGTAATGTCTCACCATTTATGCGATGGGAAGCTTTGAAGGCCACAATCCGTGGGCATATTATATCTTACACCTCATCATGTCAAAAAATGAAAATACAAAATCGGATGTATTTAGAAAAAGAAGTAGCATATCATGAGCAGTTGCACAAATCAAATCCTAACAAATCTAACTGGGCTTCTTTATGTAGTGCCAGAGCTAAACTTAATCTAGAATATACAAGTCATATTAACAAATTACTATTCCTTTCTAAACAAAAGTATTATGAATATGGGAACAAACCTAGTAGGTTATTGGCTTATCAGATTAAAAAAGAACATTCAGAGCGATTAATAAAATCTGTGGGGACATTGACGGGTTCGCATACATATGATCCAAAGTTGATCAATACAACCTTTAAAACTTACTATGAATCCTTATATAAATCTCAAAATAAAGTTTTAGAATCTGATATTACTGCATATTTAGATAATATACCACTTCCGGTGGTCTCAGACAATGACAGATGCAGTCTTAATGCCCCTTTCTCCCCCGAAGAAATTTTTGGTGCCGTCCAGTCAATGCCTTCACGGAAAACACCGGGACTGGATGGTTACCCTGCTGAATTTTATAGAACATTTTGGCCTGAACTTCAACCTATATTGATGCCAGTTATCATGGATCTGTGTACCCAAACTACCATGCCTGAAACCTGGAAAACCGCCTCAATAAGCTTAATACTTAAGAAAGACAAAGACCCAGAAGACTGCGCCTCTTACAGACCAATCAGCTTAATAAATGCAGATTGTAAAATCTTTGCTAAAGCTCTGGCACGACGATTAGAGGTGATCTTACCTAAACTCATTAACCCAGATCAAACTGGATTTATAAGGATGCGATATGGTTCTGATAATATACGTAGACTGTTGAATATTATTGACTTTATTAGAAAAAGTAATGATCCTGCCTTTATTGTTTCTCTCGACGCAGAGAAAGCTTTTGATAGGATCGAATGGCCATTCTTGTTCGCTGTCCTTAAAAAATTTAATTTAGGTCCTACTTTTATTCATTTAGTTAAACTGCTATATGCCGATCCGTACGCTACAGTCAATACAAATGGGTTGCTCTCTGAAAAGTTTCAGATAAGTCGAGGAACAAGACAAGGCTGCCCTCTCTCTGCATTGCTTTTTTCCATGGTGATTGAGCCACTGGCAGAAAAATTAGATGTTACCAGGACATTTCAGGTATTAGAGCAGGAGGAGCAGACCATCGAATCTCACTGTATGCGGATGACATTTTGTTGTATATGGCCCACCCAGAAAAATCTATTCCATCTATAATGAAGTGTATTTCAGAATACAGTAAATTTTCTGGTTATAAGATCAATTTTTCAAAATCATTAGCTTTACCTTTAAATATATCCCTTAACACACCTTGGGTAGTTGCATCCCCCTTTCAATTAGCGTTAGAGGGTTTTAAATATTTGGGTGTTCATATCACCCCAGACCTTAATAACCTTATTGACAAAAATTACCTTCCACTTATTAATAATATAAAACATGATCTTACATTATGGAACTTTCTCCCTATTTCCTTATTTGGCAGGGTAAACATAATAAGAATGAATATCCTCCCTCGCTTACTCTATTTATTTCAGTCAATCCCTTGCCATTTATCCACAATTTTCTTCAAGGATCTAGAGAAAAGTTTCTCAAAATTTATATGGAATAATAAAAGGCCAAGACTTAAATTTTCTAGATTAATAAGAGCGAAGGAGGAAGGTGGTGCTTGTGTGCCTAATATGCAGTTGTATTATTGGTCATCTCAAATAAAGCATATGATCAGCTGGTGTACAAATAGGTTGGATTCTCGCTGGGTCTCTATGGAAACAGGGGCATGTAGCCCTATTCCTCTTGATTGCTTACCGTTTATTAATGATGCTGCAAAGGTGAGGTGTGTCTCTGAGAATTTTATTTTACACAATACCCTTATGGCCTGGACAGATGTTAAGAAATA